CTTCCTTCCTTCCTTCCTTCCTTCCTTCCTTCCTTCCTTCCTTCCTTTCTTCCTTAAGAGTCCTTCTCCTTGGGGCTGGAGAAATGGCTCAGCGGTTAAGAGCACTGACTGGTCTTCCAGAGGACCTGGTTCAATTCCCAGCACCCACATGGCAGCTCACAACTGTCTGAAAATCCAGTTTCAGGGGATCTGACACCTTCACACCAATGCACGTAAAATAAAAATAAATAAATCATAATTTTTAAAAAAAAGAGTCCTTCCCCTCCTTTTCCAAAGCCTTGATTTCTCCTCCTATTCATTATCTTTGCTTGTCAGCACTGCCTATCTTTCTCATGCCTAGCCATTGGCCATTCAGCATTTTATTACAGCAACCAGGTGTCTTAGGCGGGCAGGGTAAAACAGCAACACATCTTTTCAGAATTGCACAAATGAAGCAGAAACAAACATAACACATCTTTACTTCATTAACAAAGGCAGCAGAAACATATGTAACAGACCATCACATAATTAAAGAAATACTCTGCAGCATAAATAAATATAACACCTTTGCCCAGTTAAGATAATATCCCACAACAAAAGAGCATAATAAATGCATCTGCTACATAATTATCATGGCTCTTGGAAAAGTTTAGAATGTTTTTATATTAATTTGTTTTTATCCTTTCTGCACGTTTCGCCATCTATTTTGAAACTTTAACACACAATTGTTCATTTTCTTAATGAAGTCTTGCAGCTTAGTTGTCAGCTTAGTTGTTTCTGGGTCAACTAAGACAAATGCCTCTGGGAAAATCTGTAAGTGTATTTATTGAGAGCATTAAAGGAAGACGACTCTCTAAGAGAGTGGCTTGCACTTTCAGGTGGTAGGCAATATATAAGAAAGTCTGAGGAAAAAGCTGGGCATCCCTGCCTTTCTACCTTTGTTCCATATGGACAAAATTACCTATCCTGTATCCTTTATTGCAGATGCCATTATTTTGTGACACCGAAACACATATTATTTGGCGCTCCAATGTAAACAAAAGACTTGTAGTTTTCAAGGTTAGGATTAGAATTGTTGAGGCAACCAGGTTTACAACAGATTGCCTAATTTAGTCTTTCTAACATACACACTACCTCTTGGTGAACTACCTAACCCATATCATACATCTTCTTGTTCCTTTCAGATTCATGGACTGTCTTTGTTTCATACGCGTGCACGCGCGCGCGCGCACACACACACACACACACACACACACATCTTCTCTGTCTCTTGTGTACACACACAAACTGCTGAGTCTATTTGCTGTTATTTATGTGTCTATATGTTTAAGGCTGACCCCTTGCTGTTGGATAACCAAGTAAAAAACTCAGCATGGGAGTAGACTTATTCTCCTGCTCTCCATATTTATTGTCTATAGATCTTTAAGTAGTTATTACTCAAGTCTTTTTTAAACAACCTGATTTTGGAAATTTCCTGCTTCAGCTTCTCTGTCATGTACAGAAGCCACACTCTTTTAGAAGATGTCCTGGTCACCTGAGTTTTATCAACTTTCTGTCTCCTCTTCTGCCATGTTCCCTGAATTTTAGGTGTAGGACTTGTACTGTGCATCCTTTATATTTTAAGGGGCTTCATAAAATCACTATTTTGGATTCCTTTCTAGGTATTTAATAACTTTCTGAAGATCTATGTCCAGTTTATCTTGAGGGCCAAATTATAGCAAAGTAGAATAACCAATATGTATGAAAATACTAAGCTGAAACTCATTACTTTGTGTGGATATGTTAATACAAAAGTTCAATAATTACCTAATTATGAAGTATATAAGTTTTTCTATGACAGATCTGTTACTGTTCTATGTTACTTTAAGAGATATGATCTTCCTGCATTCTTACCAGACAGTTTCCCCCGTGAGCACTTGAACTGCAACACACATTACATCTACTGTGCTCCATCACTCAGCAGAATTTACCGCAGATAAGAAACACAAAACATGATAGAAAATGAAAGACAGAAAGATTACCTTTCTCTAAAATCTATGCTCATCGGACTCTTAAATCTTGTATGCTTTTCCTTCCATATCATTCTTGATATGAATTTACAGGAAGAAAAATGGGTTACACTGACTGTGCATCACTGTCAAGAGAAACCTATGCTCAGGGATATACCTAATTCCCAGAGCTTTCATTATTAATATTTTATGAGTCTCAGTGATCTGTCTCATCTGAAAGAAAAATTTATCTTTCATTTGTGCAAGCATGGCCTGCCGAGTAATAGATTTCATCTCTATACGCCAGTAGTGAAGTGTAAACCACAGCAGAGATAGAAAGAAGTGAAGTGCTCACTTTATTTCTTGTTACTGGAGTCTGGCTGCACTTGACTATAGCGGCAAAGTCAGCCAAGCAAAGTAAAAGATCTTTGGGGAGCGATGAAGACAGTTCCTTCCCAACTCACATCAGTCCCTGCTTGTGAATGTCTACTGTTATTGAAAATGACTTTTCAATAA